AAATTCAGTCGCTAAAATCAGTCAGCACATTGTCGTAATATAGTCACTACATGAGTCGTAAGCCAGTCGATAATTGCCTACTGATTAACGACTGAATTTACGACTACGAAAACAGTAGCAACTCAGTCGGTAAATGCCGACTATTTCCCGACGAAATGATTTAGCGACTAGGTGTTTTCCGACTACTCTAGTCAGTCGTTAATCAGTCGGGAAAGCCATTTAGCGACTGATTGCCGACTCATTTTGTAGTCGGAAACGACCTGTTTTCTTGTAGTGAACTTCCCTTTGGAGAGCACATATGCGAATATGGATTATCTATTCTGGCGGAAGAAGATCATTTGTGGGCCAGAATTAGAAAGGGACCCTTATCCTTGGTTGATATGGTACATTTGGAAGGCTCGGAATGATAAGCTATTCATAGGAATAGATAGAGACCATTTGGAATTGGCCCGGTATGCAAAGAGTGTCTTGCCTGGTTCCAAGCTAATGAGCAGGACGTTGTGATTACACAAGAGGACGGCGATACTGAACGTCATGCCATAAGCCTACGAGATATTTGCATGATAGATGGTTCTTGGACCTCTATAGATCAATTTTCTGGTTGTGGTTGGGACTGGAAGGATAGCATGGGAAATAGTCAATTGATGGGGATGCGTAATGTGAGTAGAGTGGAGTCGGCTTTGCATTCTGAGCTGGAAGCGCTGCGGTGGGCAATGGAGAACATGCTTCAACATTCGCCATATCAGAGCTTTGGGACGGACTGCAAGGAATTGTTAGCAATGCTCACAGATCCCTATGGATGGCCAAGCTTTTCGACGGAACTGTAGAGGATCTCGACGCTGAGGATTTGTTTCCCACACTTCAAGATCTCTTATGTACCTAGATCTCTAAATGTTGTGTCCGATCATTTAGCTAACACTGCCCGATCCTTTTATCGTGACCTTATGTATGTTGGTTGTTCTATTCCGGTCTGGAATCCCAGACCACCTCAAGTTTGAGTAATAGATCAGCCATTCGTTGTAAAAAAAAATACAAATAATCATTAAACTCTAAATATAAATGTTAGAATATTTTTGAAAAAGTGTATTTTTGAAAAGTACTCCCTCTGTTTTTAAAAGATCTATATTCTAGAGAAAATTTTTGTTTCTAAAAGGTCTATTTTTGCATTTTCAATACATATTTTATTAAATAATATAAATTTCAAAAAATTTAATTGCACTTATTAGTTTTTATTGGCTTAAAATTATGGGAAAAAACTAATAACAAAATTTTTTTGTAAATTTAATGTGTGTGTTTTTAATATCTGGGAAAAATCTTAAAATATGAATCTTTTAAAAAAGGAAGGAGAATTAACCATGGTATTTTAAGTAATTACTCGGAAAAAATATGCAGAATATACCATCCGCTTAAATGCTATCATGTCCTTATCCACTATTATTATAGGGTCTCATTATTATATTACATTATCTTCTTGTGACAAGGTAGCGAATGCGAGATGATGATGTATGTATTGTAACCGTATATAAAAACATTAGACTAGTCTTGACAATCTCATAACTCCTACCAAGAGCTGTAAAAATATGTCTTCGGTTTCAGATCTCTTCACCGACAACAAAACCAATGTTACTCCTTACGCAATTCTCATCCTTACTGCTATCTTTACGCTTCTCTGGTTCCTCTTCAAACGCTCGCCGCAACCGCCTCTACCGCCCGGACCGCGAGGACTACCTATTGTCGGAAACCTCCCGTTTCTTGACCCGGACCTTCACACCTACTTCACAAACCTCGCTCATGAACACGGTCCAATCTTCAAACTCAATCTTGGCTCAAAACTAACTGTTGTGGTCAACTCTTCATCGCTGGCTCGAGAGATCTTCAAAGATCAAGACATCAATTTCTCAAACCATGACGTCCCGCTCACGGCAAGAATCGTTACCTATGGTGGCCTTGACCTCGTTTGGTTACCATACGGTGCGGAATGGAGGATGCTTAGAAAAGTTTGTGTTCTCAAGCTTCTTAGCCGCAAAACTTTAGATTCTTTCTACGAGCTTCGACGCAAGGAAATCCGAGAAAGAACGAGATATTTATACGAGAAAAGTCAAGAAGGATCAGCGGTGAACGTCGGAGACCAGTTGTTCTTGACGATGATGAATCTAACGATGAATATGTTATGGGGAGGATCAGTAAGAGCAGAGGATATGGAGAGTGTTGGAACAGAGTTTAAAGAAGTTATTTCTGAGATAACTAGGCTTTTGGGTGAGCCTAATGTTTCTGATTTCTTTCCATGGCTAGCGAGGTTCGATCTTCAAGGGCTTGTGAAGAAGATGCGTGTGTCGGCTCACGAGCTTGATGCCATATTCGATAGAGCCATCGAGCAAATGCATAAGTTTAAAAGTAGCGATGATGGTGAATGCAAAGACTTTTTGCAACATTTGATGAAGTTAAAGGACCAAGAAGTCGACTCGGAGGTTCCCATTACGGTTAACCATGTCAAAGCCGTACTCGCGGTAATTAATGGTTTCAGTTTCGTTGTTTCATATCAAATACTACATGATTTGATATTATAGCTCTTTAATTACCAAAAATAGAATATATATGTTTGTAGTTCATGAGAGTGATTTGATTAAAGTGTTTGTTAATACTGTATACGTGAAGGATATGGTGGTTGGTGGTACTGATACATCAACAAACACAATAGAGTTTGCGATGGCCGAGCTTATAAGTAACCCAAAGTTGATGAAGAGGGCGCAACAAGAGCTAGACGAAGTTGTTGGAAAAGAAAACATTGTTGAAGAATCACACATCACTAGACTTCCGTACATACTAGCCATTATGAAGGAAACACTTAGACTCCACCCAACCATTCCTTTGTTAGTCCCTCATCGTCCAACTGAAACTGCGGTGGTGGGAGGTTACACCATCCCGAAAGACACCAAGGTGTTCATCAATGTCTGGTCTATTCAAAGAGATCCAAACGTGTGGGAGAATCCAACCGAGTTTCGTCCCGAGAGGTTTCTTGATAATAAATCTTGTGATTTTAGTGGAACCGATTATAGCTTTCTTCCGTTTGGATCCGGCAGGAGAATTTGTGCCGGTGTAGCACTTGCTGAGAGAATGGTTTTGTACACTCTCGCCACCCTATTACACTCGTTTGACTGGAAGATTCCGGAAGGACAAGTGTTGGGTTTGGAAGAGAAGTTTGGAATTGTCTTGAAGCTTAAAACCCCTCTTGTTGCCTTGCCCGTTCCGAGGTTGTCCAGTTCGAATCTCTATCTATAGTAGCTAAGATAGTTACATTTGGTAATTCATATATTAACCAAGTTACTATCGTCATATAAGTTTTGTAACGCACAACACTTATCAAGGTATTAAGAAAGATGTCCTGTTGGCTTGCCAAACTACTACCATCTCTAAATTTGGAAAGAAAGAAACTGGAGAATTACATACAACTTGTGACTCTAAGGGCCACAAGCCTAAGAAAAAACTATGCACTGTTAATTAAAATCAATGTTTTTAAACCAACCCGAAATTGAACCTGACAACTTTCCGGGTCACCGGATTATTGTGTGGGAATGAACCACGGTCAATAAATTAACTAATTTTATTGTATACTAATATATTAACTACTGAAAAGAACACTTAGAAAAATACTTAATTTTATTTTTTATTTTGCATACAAAATATAAAAATAATGTGGACTATCAAACAATATTTGTAACAAATTAAGAATTATGACATACCATAAAATGTCAAGACTTAAAATCTTTAATTAATTAAATGTATAATATGAATAATATAACCAATATTTAAATCCAAATAAACTAAAATTAAACCATCAAACTGTTATAGATTATCGATTACAAAAATAATCTAATACAAATCACATCAACAATTTAGTAAATCCTCATCTAATCCTAAAAATAAAATAGTTTAATTGATATTAGGGTCCCTTGGTATTATATATAATATAAAAATTAGAAAGTTCAATCAAAATGTATAAACTTACTGTCAATTAGTGTTTCGCCGTTAATATTTTTTGGTTTTGTCACTTTATCATCTTTGGGAACATTCTCTAATTTATTATAATCATCATCAGGATTGACATATTCTTCTTCAACAATCCAAAACTTATTGTCAATATCGGGCCAATAAAATGAAATTAGAATTTTGGGCTCAAAATTCAAGCTTTGTGTACGCCAGCAATATCGAGCCTAAAACTCATATACTATTGAGGTTATCTTCAAAACCTTATGGCCAAACACAGAATGATTTTCTTTTATTTTTTCATTATTTTCTTTCAAAAAAATCATTTGTCTTATTCACCTCATAAATTTTAATTATTCACGAAAGTACTAATATTTTCTTCTAAAAATAATTATTTTACTCTATCATTTTCATCTTCATATTTAATTTACAACTAGGTTAAGTCATGCATCTTGCGCATGAGCATTTCATACAACTTTTTTTACATTTACTATTTTTTTTACATTTTTACATATTAAAAAAATAATAATTAATCTATATTGAATAATTGAGAAGCATAGTACCAAAAAATTAAGAAGCAAATAACTATTACATAAATAATTAAATTGATGGGTACACATAAAACAAATAATCATTCTTTTTTATTTTCAATCATTTAATATTAATTAAATAAAAATAATTATATGTACCTATTTTATGGTATATAATTAAATTTAAATGAAATTAACATACATATAGTATATTTTTCATATGATTATCTATTAATAAGATTTTGTACTAATATGATTTTCTGATTTTTATTTTTTAGCAAACAGTAAAAAAAATTTTTCAATGATCTCAATATTCGTTCAATACAAATTTAAGAAATAAAATGTTTATTTTATATGGTATATAGATAATTTAAACAGTATCAAAATAGATATACTTTGTAATATGGATATCTATTAAATGAAAATTTATTATGCATATTGTTTTATTTCAATTTGTATCTTGTTATACCAAAATATTAAACTATTGATTAGAAAAATGTTCATGTTGAACTATTAACAATTTGAGTAATTTATTTTATTTTTAAAAAAAAATCAAAATATAATCAAAATATAACATATACGAAAAAGTCTAACTTTTTATTATATGGTGAATATGATTTTTGGTTTATTTTACTAATATAAAATTAGACAAAATGATGAAATATTGTTACCAAATCTTTTATTATTCACAATAATTAATTACAATATATACTGTGGTCATGTTTGGTAATTTCATATCTTTATTTATGGAAATAAAGAATATATTATTTTTGTACATAATAATTAATTTGTGGTTACTTGAATAAAAAGTATAGTATCTTCCTACATATTGATACTACATAAACAGTTATAAAAATGATTTTTAATATATTTATATTAGTAGTCAATAACAATAATTTAAACCTAATAATATTAATTAAACTCACTTATTCACTATATATATACTAAAAATGTGACAAATGAATGCAAAACAGTTAAATATATATAATTTTAAAAAACCCAATCATTTTTCAATGAAAATATGATATCATAGATGAGTTATCATTTTAGAAATGATTAAAATATTTTTATATATTAAACAAATTATATGGTAAGTAATTAAAATTATTTTAATCTAAAAATGTTTATTTAATTCATCTATTACTATAAACAAATGAATTATAGTAAGTCATTTAAACTAAATTATTTGGTAATCCATTTAAAATTATTACTATGGTAAGTCTTTTAAAATTATATTAATCAAAGCATTTTTCAGAAGCTTTGATTATGATAAAATTAGCATGATTATTTTTAGTAGGAAAAAAGAAAGGACACATGTATAAAAACATAAGAGAAGAATAATGAAATATGTTAATTGTGTTCTTGGTTCTTTTATATTCTTATGTATTTAATTTTTATTTGTGTATCAAGATACATGTATTTTTTTGTGTTATTATAAATGTGAACTAATTATTTTTATGTATTTTAAAAACGTGAATATAAACTGATTAAGGAAGATCAGTAAAAATGAGACTTCTACAATTTTTAAAGTCAATGATGGAAAATATAATGTAAATTTAAAGAAGAAAAAATATTTGAAAATAATGAGATATATTTTTACGGTATAATAAAATTTTAAAATATATGATAGTAAAATTTTAAAAATTATACAAATAAAACATATTAAGATTTAATATTGGATTTCACATTAATATTAAGAATATATGCCTAAATAACGACATTTCATTATTTAAAATTTTTAATTTTCTTTTATTCTTTGTTAATCAGATTTAATTAAAATAGATATATTTTAAAATAATTAAAAATAATACAAAATAATAATTTTAAAAGATATCTAAACTATGCTTAATTTTAATAAAAAACAATCTGGTCCAATGAATTTGTGTTTTATAAATAGTATAATATCGGAGATAATTTAAGGAATAATTTGTTTGCTTAACCCATTTGAGTTTTATGTTAAACACTAAATAAATAAAAATGAGTGAGAAAATGTGATTTTTTTATTTGACAAAACTATGAGAGAAACTGCTTAAGCTACCATTTTCTTAATACATGTTTACATGTTTACCTTAACCAAATTTATTCTTAGTTTTAAACCGATAAATCATATCCTCATCTTTAAAAATAGTTATAATTTGATTGGTTGTTGACATGTATTAGTTATTTATTTTAATCAGATCAAAAAATAAAAGGTAACTCTAAATTAATTAATACAGATGACAAAGTAACAGAATTATATTACAAATAATGATTTATGAATAAAATATAGAGTTAGAGAAAGAATATATATGTTTTATCAATTTCTTTATTTTTATCAATTATTTATATATTTAAATAAATTACTTTAACATTTTCATAGAAATTTTTTAATAGTTATATATATATATATATATATATATCCTTATATGAATTAGATTTGTAGGTAAGGAATTATTAGAAATTTTTATGTTTTTTAAATCCCATGAAAAAACATTTAAGATCTTCATGATAAAAACCTCCAATTATTGTATTGGTCTTATTGGAACTACACAAAAAGATATTCTTTCTTTTTTTTCTCTTGAAAGCTAGAGTACAACCGGTTTTTCACATGTTAATATAAAAAAATAAAGTAATTCTAAAGCCAATTATCTGAATTATTTATAATATTGTTTTCCTGTAATAGAGATAATTTGAATGACTAAATTTCATGTTATTGAACCATTTTAAATCTCACAGATCTTCTAAAAATGTATACTTAAATTTTTGAACATCTAACTATTTCAAATTTAAAATTAAAATTTTAAAATGTTATTCAAAAATTATAACACTTTAAACATAATATATATTTCTCCATATAATATAACTAACCCGTAAAATTGCGGGAAAACACCTAATATATGTTTAAATGGACCAACTTAATTCTCTAGTGATTGTGATAATCATTCTGGTGATGACACGTGTTGTAGTTCAAAGGTTGTAATGTTTTTCTTTTAATATATCGGAGACATTATCATTATCATTAATACATTATTCACTATGGACAACCAAATTCAAATTCTAAGCTGGCAGAAAAAAAATTCGAAATTGACATTAAACATGATATCTACTCTTCTTATCTTATTTCTTACCTAGTTTTACTAAGTTAGTTATATCTAATCCCTGTTAATTTCTTATCTTATCTTATTTCTTACCTAGTAATTGCACAAGAGATGTTTCATGGTTTGAGGGCTAACAAATCGTGTCAAGGAAAGTTTATGGCAATCAAAACAGACATGAGCAAAGCATATGATCGATTCGAGTGGAATTTTATTGACGCATTGTTACAAAAGATGGGTTTTGATCCTCATTGGATAACTCTTATGATGGAATGTATATCATCTGTTCAGTATCGGGTATTGATAAATGGACAGCCTAAGGGTTCAATTATTCCACAGAGGGGTTTAAGACAAGGAGATCCTTTGTCTCCTTATTTGTTTATTTTGTGTACGGAAGCTCTAATTTCCAATATTAAAAGGGCGGAGCGGGAAAAGAAATTAACAGGGATGAAGGTTGGCCCGCGCGTGCCCTGCAATTTCCCATCTCTTATTTGCAGATGATAGTCTTTTCTTTTGCCGAGCGCAACCGGAGGAGTGTCAAACTATTCTTGCCATTCTTAAGGATTATGAGGCGGTCTCAGGTCAATTGATAAATTTCCAGAAGTCCTCCATTCAATTTGGACATAGGATTGGGGAAGACAACAGACAAGTGCTCAGAGATATACTAGGAATTCAGAACATAGGAGGTTTGGGAACTTATTTGGGATTACCAGAGGATCTGGGTGGGTCAAAGGTACAGGTATTTGGTTTTGTTCAGGAAAGATTAAACAAACGGGTTAATGGTTGGACTTTTTCGTTTTCTTACAAAGGGTGGGAAGGAGGTTATCATAAAATCAGTAGTCACGGCATTACCGAATCATGTCATGTTGTGTTATAGACTGCCCAAGGCCACTACAAAGAAACTAACAAGTGCGGTCGCAAAATTTTGGTGGAGTCCTGGGGGTAGCACAAAAGGACTGCATTGGAAATCGTGGGATAAGTTATGTACTGATAAGGATGAAGGAGGTTTAGGTTTCAAAGACCTAGAGGATTTTAACTCGGCAATGTTGGCCAAACAACTATGGCGTCTTATTGAGAAACCAAATACTTTGTTTTCTCGTGTTTTCAAAGGTCGGTACTTTAGGAATGCATCACCCCTAGACCCGATTCGATCATACTCTCCATCATATGGCTGGAGAAGTATGATTTCAGCTAGATCTCTGGTTTGTAAAGGACTTATCAAACGGGTGGGATCTGGATCATCCATCTCAGTATGGAATGATCCATGGCTCCCAACCACTCGCCCGAGACCAGCAAATGCAATTCAACACATTTATTCTCCAGATCTTACAGTGGATTCTCTTATTGATGCGGCTACGCGAAGTTGGAATATGTCGGTTATTCGGAATTTAGTGGACCCTCAGGATGCGAAAATAATAGCGAGTATTCCACTTAGTCAAATAAATATGGAAGACAGGGATGGATGGCACTTCACTAAGAATGGGAAATACACAGTGAAGTCAGGATATCAAATTGCAAGGGTATACCCGGATAAGGGAATGCCTACAGCATTTCAGGGGCCTATAGTGAATGTGTTAAAGGCTTTTTGTTGGAAATTACGGTGCCCTCCCAAGATAAAGCATTTCCTATGGCAGATGATATCGGGCTGTATTGCGGTCCGGAAAAATCTTCACACCAGAGGGATAAAAGGGGATATAGGGTGTGATAGGTGTGGTGCTACAGAGGAAATAGTAAATCATGTCTTTTTTCAATGCCCACCAGCCCGCCAGATTTGGGCACTCTCAAAAATTCCATTGAACCCCATTACTTTTCCCACCGAGGCTCTTTTTACAAATATGGATCACTTATTTTGGAGGATTATTCCAAAGATGACTGATCACCATTACGCTTGGATATTATGGTATATTTGGAAAGCGAGGAATTGCAAGGTTTTTAGTAATCTGGATGTTGACCCGCAGGATACTCTCATGTTGGCAGAGACAGAAGCTACCCTCTGGGAAGAGGCTCAGATTAAACTATCACAGGGTGAGACACTCTCGAGGGCTGGCGCAACTTTGCCGGTTATTGCAGGACGTTGGTGTTTTGTTGATGGTTCATGGAAAGATAAGGACGAGTTTGATGGACAAGGATGGTATAGTACTCTGGAGGGTTTTGAGGGTCTCATGGGCGTCAGAAATGTTAGAGCTAGCATTTCACCCCTTCATTCCGAAATGGAGGCCCTTATCTGGGCAATGGAGAGTATGCGAAATTTGCGTCAATTTTCTGTTACTTTTGCAACAGATTGTTCTCAACTGGTGAAGATGATTTCAGAACCAGATGAATGGCCAGCCTTCGCAACGTATTTACAAAATATCAAGACACTTCAAGGGAGTTTCCACAGCTCGGAAATCATCTATGTCTCAAGAACTCAGAATTCAAGGGCGGATAGTCTTGCACGACGTGCGAGGAAACAACCGTCTTTCGTTGTTCACATGGATGCAGAGCTACCAGTTTGTTTCACAGAGTCTACATGAGTTTGTTTTATTTGATGTCAAAAAAAAAAGTAATTTTACTGAGGTAGTTATACCGATTTCTAATTGTTTGACTAAGGTAATTATACCGAGTTTTTACTAGTTCTACTATGTTATTATACCAAATTCTACTAAATTTCAGATCTGAAAAATATAAAAATCATAGATCCAAAATCCACAATTCCACTAAATACAAAGTTATACCAAATACAAAATTCATAAATCCAGAAGGAAGAAAAACATAACCCTAGCTCTAAATCTAAAATTCATAACAGTATTTAGATGTTTAGTTCTGTAGTTGAAATCAAAGAAAAACATGATTTGAAAAGGGATAAAAGAACAAGACGAACCATAAATCGAATAAAAACCCATAATTCTCCGTCAACATCATTTTAGGATTTGCCACTTTCAACAGCTGATGCGCTACTACTAATACTTTAGATGGAGCTGTCGATGTTTTGTGTTCTGGTTACTAAAAGTGTCTTGTTCGATATTTATGCAGATAATATGGGATTTTTGTTGTTTTGTAGAGAAAGAGAGAGAGAGAAAAGAAGAGCAGTTTTAGCAAAGTGAAGAAGAAGCGTAAGATTTTAGCTTTTTATTTTAGATATAGAGAGATAAGAGATAGTTTATCTGCCAATGATGTAGTTGATAATTTAGGATAAAGGTTAGAGAGGAAAACAAACTATGTAATATCATGAGACGTTTATTGTACTAATCCATCTAATGACATAGTTAAAATGTGGACAAAACAAATCTGAGCCAAAACCTTAAATTAATCATATCAACCGGAATAAATTGGGTCAAACAAAGAGAAAAATGAGAAAATAAGTACCAAAAAAATCACTGGAACTTTCTTGCTTGAATAGGAGTCACGTCGAATGAACCCAATCTCTCATTGTAGAACCTCATATCTCAAACTGAAAATAAGCGAACCGCTTTCAATGGTAGAGTAAATCTTAGATCCGTAAAACAAAGAGATGAGAAAAAATCGCGAGAACACCATCACCGCAACCACCACCATCTAAGCACGACGGAGGATCCACCAAGATCAAAATCAAGAAAAAAAGAAGAAAGAACGGGTTAAGGGCAGGTCTATAGGAACATACCAGATCGCTGGTTTGGAAACGACGTTTTGATAGGCTTAAACCACACCCCACAAATTGTCTCGCCTCCATTTCCGCTGAGAAGCTCTACCTCAGAATCTCTGCTCACCGTCCTCAAAGTAAAATGCGAGGAAATAGAAGAGCCCACCTACGATTATGCAATAAATATGACGCCTCTGTGTGTCTATCTTTCTCACCAGCAAACTACCCCCCCCCCTCCAAACTACACCAATTAGGCTAAGGTGTATCCACCGCCGTAAAACTACAAGCAACAAACCACAAAAATAAAACCTGACGAAACGTTATCTAATCCTCAAAGATTTGACTTGTGAAGTCATACATAATAGAAACTGCTTGACCACAACTACACCACCATCACCACTAGATTCGACACCAAATAACACCAGAAGATTGGAAAACCACCGGGCAAAACTAGGCTCAAACTTAAGATAAAATAAATTAAAAGGTTAGGGCCTCTCAAAATATCTGTGAGGAACCAACGTCGGAGAAATGGAGAAAAACAGGTGACGACGTATGCAAATGTTTCAAGAGATAAGAGAGAAATTTCGCCGGGGACATAGATCAAAGTTTATAACAAATGAACACAGGTTCAATTTTTTTTAAACATCAAAACGCTATTCTTTCACTCATACTAGAGGTAGTCTGGGAATCCAAACTAGATTAGAACAACCAACAAAAACTAACTCCAATGAAAAGCTTGAGCACTCATGGTTGATGTGTTTGTTGTCTCGTTCTGCGCCTTGGTACATGTGTGAGTTTGAAATCATGGAATCTTCCTCGAATATATGCTAGCTTTACTAGTTTTCTGGAAAATCTTGGCTATGATGATAGATTTTGAATCATAAAAACGAAGTCCTTGTAGTATGTCCTGAAGTGATGGCATGTTGTATGATGGAAACATATTCTTCATAGACCAAACAATAATTCTTAATACAAAGGTTACAATCGTCTCTCTTTTTTTTCAACCTTATGTATGAGTTGTTGCTTTCCAAATTCATCTAGCCATACTCAACCATAGCCACTATATTGTGGTTCTGAATCCATGTACCGTCTACCAAACAAATACTTTGCAAGCATAAGACTTGTGTATTGCATTCATGGTGTGGTGGTTGATAATCTTCTGAGGCTTTTGACTTCGCGTCAAATCATGTATGACATTCACTTGGGCATCTCTAATTTTCTCCAGCGACTCTCTTGTAATTCTTCAGAATAATTTTTCTTTTTGGATTTCAAGAGATACCAAATTATCTATGGAAATAGATCCTTATCTAATTCCGGATTTTCTATTCTGTTATTTCTCCAGAATAAATAATTCAAACTGAAATAAACGCTTGATACTGGGAAAATTTTCGGACACGAAAGTGTCGAATCGAGAGAGTGCAAGTTTGCAAAGTCAGACAACATTCAAAGATCGCATGATTAATCGATTCATCAAGTTCTTCACATCTAAGACAATGAATCAATGATTATCACATCGCACATGGGAACACATATTCATTTAATTTAATAGCAAACTATCAAATTGTATTTCTTTGCAATTTGCCAAATACTATTTTCTCATATTCCATTAAAGAAATATCACTTTCAGCCTTGAAAAGGAACCTTTGCACTACTATTTGTCTTTAATTTAGTTAGTGTTGGTTGGGTTAAAGTTTTTCTGTAACACCATTACCATAAACGATAGAGCAACAAAATGGTATTTTGAGAATGTTAATTTCAAAAACAAAAGTCAAAAGAGACGAGGTCGATGGAAGTCCCCTTAGTTCAGTGGGCTGAGGATTCATTAATACTTCTACATGAGAAGATCTAGGTTCAATCCCCAACGAAAACGATTTATTAAATAATTATTAGTGTTCCAAAAAAAAAAAAATTATTATTATTTAGGCTGCAAAGGAAATGTTTAAAAGTTAAAAGGAATTTTCAGCATAGTGCAAGTAAACTCGGCCAGACATGAATTTTCATAGGACGGTTCAGGTGATGCAATTATGTATAGATAAGGTAGATAGTATTGTCGTTAGTCGAATCGTCTATGTAATCTTTCTTATAATTGTAATATCATATAAATCAGGCGTTAAAAACAACAGATCCTATAAAAAGTGAATTAATTAATACATATGAAAATTATTAAAATCTTCATAATAATAAAAGGTCACACACACATATACATTTTCATATACATACATACATGATACATACATACAAACATCCGGTTACCAGTTTACATCTCGTAACAGACATTGTTTCGACTAATTAAAGCACCATGAGAAACGAGAAGGAACATCTATAAGTTTATTTCGTAATTCACTCATTTCAAGCAGATACAGATTTAGCTTCACAAACCGGGAGATCATGTTCGAAGTTTGGAGCGGCCCTAAGGATTGGATTACGCTCGAAGAAATTTGCAGGTTTCAAATCAAAACTCGAAGAAACTGTAGGCATTATTGGAAAGTCTTCTTGACATGGAACGTGATGGAAGCCAAGTGTGTACCACACAACTATATCCTTGTTCTCTATGTCTCTATCCCTGCAAAGCAATCAAATCTTAACTATATGATGAATAATTAAAACAACTTTCATTTAACTAACCTGTCTGACCAAACTGCCAGAGTATCATCTCCATGGCTTTGGTAAGTGAACAAACCGCCAGCCCATTTCTCGGACTTATTATACGGAGTCACCCAAATTTGATTATTGGTAAAAGCTCCTCGCTTTTGCGGAGGATCATCATGGTCAAGCAAACTAGCAGCCGTGGCTCTAGGGACGATCTTGTAACCAGTGGGGTTACCAACCCGGGTGGTTTTAGCAGAGTTGACAACGTGGAATTCGGATGGATCGTACAAACTAAGCTTGATCTGAGCGTCCTTTTCGGTTTTTACGATGTTTTTAACCGCTTTTATGTAACTCGTTCTTGGAGACTCACCTGGCTCAGTCATCTGCCTCTTGAGATTCACTTTAAGAAATGAATTGTCCGGGCCATCAACGTCAAGGTCTAGGTAGAAAGTGACATAGTGATCATGAATTACTCCTATTATGTTTTCAGACAGAAGCGTGCCGTGAAGCTCTTCTTCATTACCGTCTTTTTCTTTATGCACTTGGTTTTTGTTTTGATATGATGTCCCTTTCACCATTAGAATTCCACTAAGCCCAACCTAGTCATCGTCCACATATATGTGTGGTTTGTGACAAAAATGAATATTCATTGTTCCACGGAACTAAAAGAATCTTTATATTTAAAATAAAATATAAATAAATAAAATAAATAATAAAGAAAGGTAAAGAAAATAAAGAGTGAGAAACAGAGTGTCATGTATCACAGCACCAGGAGACAAACGTTACATTGTCTAGGCAAATGGTTTGTTACAAAAAGTTAGGTCAAAGGAAAGCTTTTCTCTTATTTCTATTTGCAGTGTTTGACAAATAAAAGTTGTACTTGATGTAAAACAGTTTTTGAGTTGAATTAATTTTACATTCTATTCGAAAAAAAAGAATCTTTTATTTTTTGGAAGATATAGTAGAAATTAAAGTACCTTAGCTTTGATTAGGCCATCAGTTTGGAACTCATAATCAATGATGTAATCATAGTTACCTACCGAAGCTGCCATTCGTACCACTAACGTCACCTTTGGTCTCACTTCCTTTATCTGCTTAATAAAAATACTAACTTATCAAAATAGTAACACCATAAACGTAACGTCACCTTTGGTCTCACTTATTTTGTAAAACAGTGAAGCAAATGGACTAACCGGTAAACCACTGATGGGGCTTTCCGAGTGACGCCACCCAATATCTCCGGCGTAACGCTCAAAAATACAAACCATATTCTCTCTCACAAACGGCGTCCCATCAGCCGCCGTGAAAACTGCGTCCATATACGCCGCGTTTCGTGGACAATCATTAAGCGGTACAAGTGGCATGGCTGTTAAACCGAACCCGTATTCACCTGCGTCCATGTAAGTCTTAAAGTACCACGCGTCCGATGGATCCATGTACGGAACAAAAAGCTCGGACACGAACCCTTGGTACATCACTTCACGTGTCTCTTGCGTATCAGGATCGTGTACTCTAACTTGTGATAATACCACACCTGCTCTCGGGTCAGGCTTTAGATGAAATTCCCAGTTTGCCCACTTCACTAGATGGTTGTCTTCTATGACGAAGCTTGGACCACGTGGCTGTTCGATCGAGATCGGGTTAAGACCTCGTGTTTTGTCGGGGGTACCTAGGTTTTTGAAGCGGTATTCGGTATTAGTTGAACCGGGTATGGGAATAGTCGGACCGGTATCAACAATCTCGATCACTTGCTTTGTGTCTAAATCGAGAAGAATAGTTAAACCTTCGATGGGTCGCATGTAGAAGTTAGCTGTACCTTGGCTTGAGAAACACTGACTTTTAATAACCCTTTTATTTTCTTCTTTTTTACCGTACCAGCCACTTGATATTGGGAAGCAACACACATCCGTCAGGTCAACTCCACGAGAAACAATCGTACGGTTGACATCAGCGCTTTGAAACGGTGCAAACGTCACTTCGTTCATCTCTTCTAGAGTCATCAGCGGGTAACCGGAAACACGAACCGGACTATCCACTATGTCGACCCGACCAGAAGAAAGGTCAACGGTTAGCATGTGCGTGTCGGAGCCAACGCGTGCGATGACGGAAGCTTTTCTCGGAGGAAGTGGGTTTCCTTTTTCCCATGCTCTAACGAGGTTCTTCTCCGGCTCTTCAAGAACGATGGAGTGGAACGCGTGTGGTGCGCCTGAGGAGAAGAGCGCGTGAGATGAGAGGAGAGATCGGACTTTGTTAAACTCCATGACAGTGAGTGGGTCCAGAGGGTGGGTTGGTGTGTCGGACAAGTGGTCATGGTTCTTAGGTTTTGGTTTAGGATCTTTTTTAGAAAATGATGGTTTTTGTTTGTTGAAGAGGAAGTTTCTTGATGCACAAAGAGGTGAAGAGGAAGAGTCGGTGCAGTCCAGAAGCCCTGTGGTAGACGACGGCGCGTGGGGGAAGTTAGTGGAAGTGAAAGAGATGATGAACCCGGCGGTGACTATGAGAAAAATCAAACGGAAGAAAGTTTTTGGCTCCATGTGTGGTTTTTTGTTTCTTTAATGAGTATAGATCAAAGTAGCCATCGTATTATATAGAAGAAAAAAAGAGAAACAAGTGAGCTTAGTTAAATACGTCACTGATCACTAGTATTGAAAATAGACAAATCTTCCGCAAGATAAAATATCCTAGGAATTAGGATCTTATCTTTGACGATGCAAAATTAAGACAAACAAAATTCGTCCACACATTGAAACTTTCAGTATGATGTACTGTGCCGTGGTACATACATGCATGAGTGAAAAGTGTGTAAACTATGGTGGATCATTTGATGGGCTTTGACGTAGATTGTTTTAACATGAAATATGATCAAGGCCCGTTGGTTGTAAGACTGAAAACCGTACTATAAACATTAATCCAAGAGTTTGACATTCCAATTACTAAACAAAATTGAAAATTTTCTAACGTTTTGAATATCTTTAACGAAATAGATAGACGAGTAGATAAGGAATCGATTTCTTTCTTTAACTCAATTATTTTGAAATCTCAAGATACAATTATGTGATACTATTCAAATAAGTGAATATACAAATTCATATCCCTTATCTATTAAAAGAGAAACATTTGAAAAATTGTAACCTTATTTTGTGATAATTAAAAAAGACCTCATGCTTAAGTGTCATTCAATTAGTTAGTCAATTACATTTAATTGAAAAATAAGTAGGTCCAAATTCGATTTTTATATGTCGCTAGATACATTCGTTGGTCAAACTATATAATATGATGATATGATATTTACTATAGAAGCATTTATGATTGTTATGCTAAATATAATTATTATTTTATGTTTTTTCCTTAAATAAAACCTACGGAATTACCATAAATGACTAATATATATATATATATATATATATATATATATATATATGACAATTGATGATTCTAATAATAAATATTTGATAACAATTTATATCTCCTCCATCATTTTTTCTTTAATTTTATATTATTAAAATATATAAAACAATCAAATTAGCTATAAAAAATAAACTTTAGATTTTTTCGTATATGTTATATTTTGAATTAAAAACAAGAATAAATGACTAAAACTATTAAAATTATTATGTTAAAAATTAATGATCAATAGTTTAAAACTTTTATTATAAAAAGATACACATGATTTTAAAACCATATGAGTAAAAAGTATCATTCAATAATAAAACAATATATCTAGATTAAACTATATACCATATCAGATTACATAAATATTTTAATTTCAAAAAGTTCAATGAATTTTCAAGAACATTTATAAATTATAAACTTATTAAATTTTTCACATTAAAATTTTTTGTTATCAATGATTTAAATATCTTAGTTCTTTTTTTAATTTATATCATTAAAATATATTAGACAATCGATAATATGGTTTTTTTTTGTATATACCATACAAACTGAATGTATGTGATTTTATAAAAACCGTAAGATTTGGATATGGTTTGATTTATAACAAATTAAACTGAAACATGTAAAATGTATATATTTATAACGACGCATGAATATCTATTTGTTACATGAGTTGAACTATAATTATAATTTTTAAATCACTTGAACTATAATTATAATTTTAAACCACTTGAACTATAATTAACTAGCAATTTACTGCAACTGAGGCTTATTATTTTCTTAATTTTTTGATCTTTTTACTTTATTTTAACAGTAACTAAATTGAAGTAAAGATTATAAATTTGATGGACAACAATTATTTGAAATTCTTTACAATTTTTTTTATCTTTAAATAGACAGAGTTGTGTTCAATGTAAGACATATTAATTTGATGAACACTAAATATGGAAGACTATAAAAACTTTTCTTTCATGCTTATGTTTTCTTTTATTTATTTTTTCAAAATTTAGAGCTTTGATATTAGTTCTAGATTTGATCATTTTATTAGAAGATAAAAGCATTTTTTATTCTTTTATTTAAATATATAATAATTTTTTTAATAAATGACTTTTTGACAATATGACTCTAAATATGATCATATAATATATTTGTATAATATATAATATGATCTCAAACTAAATAACTATGTTTTTTGGTATAAAACTGAATAAACTGAAAATCTATGGTATATAAACCAAATCGAATCGAAGTAGATATGGATTTAGAAAAGTAGTTATATTTTAATAAACGAAATACCGAAAACTTGAACCGAACCAAAACCCGATATCCGGACTGAATACCCCTAATCTGAATGAAACCAAACTATTGTTTCATTTTCTAAAACATAATAAAAATAACAACTTCATTCTGTGCAAGGCGCGGGTCTTATCCTAGTTACATAGTATATGTGGAAGTTAAAATCCGCCATAAAATTTCGATGTGAATAGAGTAAAATTTAGGAAAACAGTGTGAAAGGATCTTTGTGAGACCTCGAAGATAATTTGTTTGAATTGGACTAATAAATTGACAATGAGTATGATAAATACAAAGAATAAACATACAAGATAATATCTTTATAATATAGTATTATTCAAAGTCTCAAGTGAACAAGTTAGAGAGTGATATCAAATGATGGTCTTGGCTCGTCCTTCTTACTACTCAACTAGCTTGAACTACTCTGTGTACATAAGACACGTGTCATGCCTTGCTCTAGAGATCTTGACAAATTATGTAACTGTATAACGTAGCTATGAGGTGACTGAGTCTTGGTTGTTATCCATAGACTAGGAGTTTGATACTTCAGCTGTGATGTAGTTCTCTGGGCTTCACCGATGGATCATGTTTTCAGTGCCAATTTCGTCTGTTTCTGTTGAGCCTTTACTAGGTTGGATTTGTGTTCTAAATCCTGCTCCAGCAGTTTCTCTCAATCATTGCTGTCATTGAGAATGCTATGGACTCTGCTCCTGACCTAACGTATGTTGATGTTGAGATAAAGCTTATTAATTTTGATGAGAAGATTCAAGCTTACACTGCCAACACCAACGTCTCTCCACATTTGGCCTTCGCTGCTGGTCGTGGTTATCCTAACAGAGGTCGTGGTCAAGGTAGATATCGTGGTCGTGGCGGTTACTCCACTCGTGGCAGAGGTTTCCATCAGCAAATAAGTCAAGGATCTTCAGGGAACACTAGGCCAACGTGTCAGATTTGCAACAAGTTTGGTCATGCTGCCTACAAATGTTACAAGCGGTTTGATCATGCCTATCAGTCTGAAACTCTCATCAATGCTTTATCAGCTGTTCGGATCTCTGATGGAACTCCCCAGTCTGGACAGGAATGGTATGCTGAATCTAGAGCTACAGCTCACATCTCAAACTTTGCAGCCAGTCTAAGCTCAACTCAGCCTTATCACGGTGATGATTCGGTCATTGTAGGTAATGGTGAGTTTTTGCCTATTACTCACATTGGTTCTGCTGTTCTTTCCAGTGAACAAGGTAACATTCCATTGTTAGATGTGCTTGTGTTTCCTGGAATTACTAGGTCTCTTTTATCTGTTTCAAAACTCACGGCTTATTTTCCATGTGCTATTGAGTTTGACTGTGATGGTGTCATCGTGAAGGATAAGAAAAGGCAGAAGCTCCTCACCAAAGGAAACATGCATAAGGACCTGTATATGTTGGAGAATTCAAAGTTTCTCGCTTACTACTCTACTAGACAGCAAGCATCAAGTGATGAGGTATGGCATTTGCGGCTTGGTCATCCTCACAAGGAAATTCTCCATCAGTTAGCTGCAAAAAAAGCAATTGTCATTAATAAGTCAAGCTTCAAGATGTGTGATGCTTGTCGCATGGGCAAATCTACTAGACTCCCTTTCCTTTCTTCGGATTTTGTTTCCAATAAGTGTTTAGAACGCATCCACAGTGATTTGTGGGGACCTTCACCTGTAATCTCAACTCAAGGTTTTCGATATTATGTGATTTTTATTGACAACTTCACGAGATATACATGGTTTTATCCTCTGAAACTCAAGTCTGATTTTCTATTTTTCTTTCTCGGCTTCCAATCAATGGTTGAGACACAGTTTGGTACAAAGATGCAGAGTTTCCAGTGAGATGGAGGTGGAGAATTCATAAATAGAGCGTTTCTTACACATCTGTCTACATGTGGCATACGACAGCTCATTTCATGTCCTCATACGCCGCAGCAGAACGGTCTAGCAGAAATGAAGCACATGTCTATCACAGAGCTAGCTCTTACTCTGATGTTTCAAAGCAAAATACCGAGATGCTTATGGGTGGAGGCATTCTTCTCTGCAAACTACTTGATCAATCTGCTCCCGTCTTCAGTTCTCTCTGATAATAAGAGTTCGTGTGAAGCTCTCATAAAGCGTCCTCCTCTCTATACAGCTCTCAGGGTGTTTGGTTGTAAGTGTTTTCCACATCTTAAGCCATATACATCAAACAAACTGGATCCAAAGTCTTTGATTTGTGTGTTCCTTGGGTACAATGATATGTACAAAGGATATCGGTGCTATCATCCTCCTACAAAGAGAGTCTATATCTCAAGACATGTATTGTTTGATGAGAAAACATTCCCATATGAGGGCATATATAGTCAGTATAGAGGAACTCCAACAACACCTCTGCTCAAGGCTTGGTCTGCTGGATCAGTTCCAGAAACATCATCAGTTGAAGATTTAACTACACCATCTCTGGATATACTGAGACGAGTTCATCAACCAGCTGCAACTCAGAAGCCTCCTCCTACTGTGAAAAATGACCAAGATTTATCAGATAATTCTAGTTCCTCTGATGATGATGTACCATCTCCACAGCCTTCTCCACCTTTGCCGGTTGTTCAAGCTTCTCAACCTGTTCATTCCATAACAACACGTCCTAAAGAATACATTCGAAAACCGAACCCTAGGTGTCGCTTGTTACAGTCAAGTCTTCTTATCCTGAACCAAAGATAGTTAAACAGGCCTTGAAAGACAAGTGGTGGACAAAAGCTATGGAAACAGAGATGGAGAATCATCGTGTTACAGAAACGTGGGATCTTGTACCTCCTTCACCTGATATCAAGCCTCTTGGTTGTGGATGGGTTC